TATATATATATACAAACACACGCGCACTCTTAAAAACATAAAATATATATTTATACTTCTAAAAAATATAGTTATACGAGATTTACTTAAATTTTTTTATGAGTGAATACGTTTTTATTTTCTACATGAATAGATATAATATGAAACAAAAACATATTTATGGTAAAAACATAAAAGATTTATAAACTTAAAAGTTATTTTTATTTTTATTTTTTTTTTCAAATTTGATATCATGTTAACCTAAACATGTGTTACTACAGATAACAAAAACAAAAAATAAAATAAAACTTGACAAACTTTAGGTATTAATGAAAAAGAAATCATCAAATAAATAAACCAACAAAAATTGACAAACTTGAAGACTTTCATATCAAAAGCCCTACTATATAAACCTAAATATAAAAGCATCTTCAATAAAAGTTTTTTTAGAGCAACAAATTGTAGTGAATTGTGTTTTATATCAACAATACCAACTACTTATATTGTATTAAATGTATTTTTTAGAGTTTTATGTTTTACTCATCACCTCTCTTTTTTTAATAATGTTAAATTACTTCCTTATTTTTCTTTAAGCTTTATTAATTTATTATTTTTTTGATTAATTATTTTTTAATCTCCACTATTGGATATTAAATTCGATCATATGATATTTTATTATTATTATTATTATAACTATTAACATTATAAATATCACATATGTTTAAAATTAATAAATTAGATGTTATGGTAATATATTGTTTTTATTTAGTGTTATTGTAAAGTACGTTTTAATTTTATAAATATTACATATGCTTAAAAATAACAACTTAGATAAAGGTGATTTATAAAATATTTAATAAAGATAAAATAAATTGATTAATTTTATAAAAAATAAACTTTTTAAAAATCGTTGATTAATTTTAAAAATAAATTGATTAATTTTAAAAACCGTTGATGATTGGAGAGGATTTAAGCAAGGTTGTAAAAATCGTTGGACGGTAGCTCAACGGTCGACTGGTGTTAGGGGATTAATCGGTCTTTGCGGAGATTAATCGGGGACCATAGATTATTAATAAAATATTAAAATTAATAAAATATTAATATATCTTAAGAAAAACAAATACTTCAAAATTAAAAAATAAGAAAATTTGTAATTTGAAAATACGAAAATATGGACATTTTGATATAATATTTGAAATTTTGGAGTAAAAAAAATGATTTTTTTAATTCTTTTTTTATTTTTTTGACTTTTTTTACTTTTGTCGACCGATTAATCCCGTCAAACCCGATTAATCCTAAATTTCCGATTAATACCCTAATCATCGACGGTTGGAGAACGCCAAGCGATTAATCACCGATTTCTGCAACCATGGATTTAAGTTAATAATATTTTATTCGATAAAGATGGTGAAAATATAACGTGACAAATCAAGAAAAACTATATAATAAGTCGTTGGTTGAAGATACCGGAAAAATTACAACAATGCAAACTATCCCCAACAATAGTTAAACTAGTAAAAAAATTGTCTTCACAAATAATCATTCTTCACCAATCTCAAAAACAGGATGTCTTACATGAGAAGATGACTTATCACATTTATCTTTGCAAAGAGAAATCACTCGTTTTTTGTTGCTTGATGCCCCAAGATTATTTGCAGCTAGAATCACTCCATTTCCAACACCACTACATTTCCTCAGATCCTTTAAGCTTCTAACACTTGTCACTGTTGGAGGAGTCTCTGGTGCATACTTTGGCACTTGTGGTCTTGGGTTGACTGAAGTCACTTCATCGTAAACAGAAAAGTACTTCTTGATAATACCCGAAACTGAAACTGATACCGATTCAAATGAATAAGCATCCGATCCTTGTTTATGTTCATTTTCCCTTTTCTTTATTCTTGATAAACCGTTATGAACAACTACTTGTGATTGTGGGGTTGATGGGATTTTCTTGTTTAAAGGGTATGCTTCTGTGTATAAAAACCATGTTCCTTTGGAACCTTGGAAAGCATGCTTTATGGGCATTGATTCCGGCAAGTGATAAAAGTAAGACTTCTTCTTGATCTGGTTAGTAACAAGATGAAATTTTTAATAATAAGCATATAACAAGAGGTAACAGAAGAGCTTAATTAGTTAGCTATACCATCAATCCATTGACTTTAATATTTCCTATTCCAGGGTAGCAATCTGAATGTATGCTCTCAAATTTTCCTACATAAATCAAGATCACCATGAACAACTAGAAGATCGGATAATCAATAGCTTAAAGGTAGGGATAACCAGTTAAATCTGGTATTTTTATTTTAATGATCATCAGCTTCTTCCAATCTTGTTTTTTTTAATCCTAAAATCAGAATCATTCAAAGTAATCGGTTAAATGCACATCCAAACGCCCCTAAACAATATCTGTCTATCTGACCCCTTTCAACATAGAGCAATCGTTTGATAACGAGGTTAATTTCGCGTATCCAAAACCCTGATTCTTTCTTTTAGTTCATTACATGTATTACAATAGGTAAAATAGTCGATGGAGCACGAGAAAAATAAATGAAATCAGTAAATTAGTTAGGAATGAAACGAAACAGGGACTTCAATTTCAATGGCACTTGCATCAGAACCCATTCAACCAATTTGAATCTAAGCATAAAAGGGTTGAGGAGGGAGAGATTCGTGTTACTCTTAAATTCCGCGGCTGTAAGATGAGGAGAGACAGATATGGCAATGCGGGTGCCTAAGCTGGTGTCGATGAACACAGGGACTTCAATCTCAATGGCCCTTGAATCAGAACCCATTCAACCAACGCCCCCAACAAGACAACAAGGGTTTTAGGCTTTAGCAGTCTCGACTCTTTGCTTGATAGTCTATGGGGTCTGTTTCTTACTAAATAATTCCACTTTAGCCCTTAAAATAATTTTTTTTTTTTGTCGTTTTTATGGGTCAATATCACAAAATAACTATCAATAACTCTCAATTGCTTTTTTAAATTACTTATTTTTAATTAAGAAACATTTTTCTTTGTTTGTTTCATTACAATACTAGAGTTGATGTCAACTTTATATCACGTTCCATGGACGATGTTATTGTTGAATCTCAATCGATGGTACTAAACTGAACCGACCAAATGAACATTGAATCAATTTTTGTTATATTAGATTTCACAGTGGACATAATATAAGGTGTTAAAATACCATTTTATCAGGATGAAATCTACTTAATGGTGTAATAAAACATTAAAGAAAAGTTTATTGGTTTATTAAATACAATTAAAAGATGAATAGCTTAAAGAGTTAATAGTTAACGGTGACTATTTCATGGCATTAACCCCGTTCTCATTTACAAATTATATTTTTCCATCTACATAAAGAGCATACACCATGGTTAAATAGGTCCAAAGCTTATTGCCTATGTCAAATCTATAAAAAAATATTTTTAAAATCTTCTCAAATGTATAAACTGTTTTTGAAATATTTTTTACTAATTAAACATTTATCTTCGTCTATTTGAAAATATTTTGTAAAAGGCCTTCCTATAATCTTTTATTTTTAAGAACACATCATAATTTATATAGGTGTTATTTTATCAATTATGTAGTTAAAGATATAAAAAAATAAAATGCTATAATTTTAATTTACGTATTTAATAAATTAGACACAACATGAGCTAACACTAAAGTGAGATAATGCAAGTATAAATATGATAATATTGACTTATTGAGACCATGCGTCGATGCTTACAAAAAGATACAACATAGTCGAACACTAATAATATATGTACATACAAATATAATTATAATGATACTAAGTCTATACTCATCAATACAAAAGATACAACATGGGCTAACACTAATAATATACACATACTATTAATAATATGGACTAATACTAATCATATACCTACACTAACAGTGCATGTATATTATTAGTGTCAACTCATGGTGTATCTTTTGTATGCATTGTCCATGGCCACGATATCATTGTATTTATACTTGTGTTATCTTATTTTCAAAGACAATAAATATAATCATTGAATAATAGAACAAATACCACAATATATAAATAAGTAGTTGGTGGATAATAACGGATTGATGAAATATTAAAAAATATGCATTTTATATTATATAAACGAAGAAACGATGATAAATCATAAATATGTTTTAAGCCTCAAATATATAGTAGACTTTTTTGTCTTACCTTTTGTTATATACACTCCTTGATAGGGATCAACTTTTTTTACCGAAAAATCGAGTCGGAATCAGAACCGGTTAACCGAAATGTTGTTTTCAGTTCGGTTATCGGTTCTCCCAAACACAAATTTTATCTCATTTTCAGGCCACCGATTATTTCGAGCTTTGGAACCAGAATCGAAAAAACATAACTTATAACAAGTTTATAACCATTATCAGTGTCGTATAAAATACATCTATGAAAACATTCAAGAACAAGACATTAATTAATTATATGGTCACATGAGGATGTAAAACCCATTTTTGTTATATGTTACATAGTAAAATATAATATCCATATTAGAAAAATATAAAAATAATGTAAAAAAGAAATTAAAATGATAAAACTATCTTTTTATGTTTTGACTATAATCACAAAAAGAAATCTGATTTTGGACCAGCTGAAAAGATTTTGGATCTTATTCACACTTTTTTAATAACTACGTGGACCAAATTTGCACTTTAGTCTAAGATTTAACTCCAAAAGAAAAAACCCACATCTTCTCTTCTCAAACAAAATCCCCATATCCGTTTTCTGTCACTCTATTTTTCTCCTCTGAAACTATTTTGATGACAATTCTTCACTTGCCTGCAATCAAAGTGTTTTGCTTGACAGAGAAGAAGCATAAAGATGTTCCAAGCAAACCATTGAAGTTTGGAGAATCAAATTCAAGAAGCGCAACTAACAGAAAAGGTAATGTCGATTCTAAAAAAGGCCCATCAAGATTGAAATTAAGCTGCAATTTTCTTTCTTTACCATGAAGATTGTATCTACTTATTCCACGCTTAATGATTTCTACGTAATTCGTTTACCTATCTGTCTGTCTACTCACACCTGTTGCTGTCTATGAATAGGTTCTTTTCAACAAGAGCGCAAACCCAAGAAGGTGAGTCTGGAAATCTCACCTCATAGAGCTGGTAAGACTTTAATCTTTGTTGATAAACCGTGGGGCAATTTCTTATCTGAAATAGGTCCTGGGTAGCATAAATACCAATTTCTAACACTCGAGTGTTTTGTTTGCTTCGATTCGATGGTTCCTAAATTATTCTATTATGATCATACAGTGTCTGCAGTGAGGTTAATGCGGATAGAGTTTGGTGGTGCTTTTGCTGATCTTTTAAACGAGAAAGGGAAGGGTTCAGGTGATAACGAGATGGGATATGTTGAAAGAACACTTGGGTTTTGCACTCGTGATTTGGATGATAGAGATCTCAGATTGGTCCTTCTCTTACCCAATAATTTAATTTGATTTTCCCTCCATTAAATCTTATCTTTTTGATATGGCCGATTATAGGTAACAGACATTGTTGGAGGTACAATTCGTTGGAGAAAATATCTTGATTATTTAATTTTGTCCTTGTGCCATGATCCAAACTCGTTTAGTCATATGGAGCCTCTGCTATTACAGGTACATTTTTTAAAAGGATGTTTTTGATCTGTTGAACTTACTAAATCCAATTGCTTTCTATAGATTCTTCGGATTGGATTCTATGAGATTGTAAAGCTAGAGGTCCCTTCATATGCTGTTGTAGATGAGGTAATACTAAATAGTAAATATAATGGTTTTTAAAAACAAAGTGAATATACGTTGTTATTTATTGGAATTTGGCCAAAATTATATGTGAAATTGCAGAATGTGCAGCTTGCAAAAATTGCCCTTAGACCGGGTGCTGGTAACATGGTGAATGGGATTTTAAGGAAGCTTGTTGCACTTAAGGTTTAATCCTTCTCTTATATCACTCAAATTTTCAAAAATTCAAAAGTACTAATAAACAAGGATTTGTTATTTGATAATCATTGTTTACAGTGCAATGTGAATTTGGAGTTTAAATTAGGTTTCACTGTATGCAGGAAAGTAACTCTCTTCCTTCACCTCAACTAGAGGGTGATGATCGAGCACAAGCACGTGCTCTTGCTACTATTTATTCTCATCCAGTTGTAAGTTCTAATTTCCATGTCAATGTCACTAAAATTACACTTTTTCTTTTATCCATTAACTCCTCTATGGCTAAAGCGACTGTTGTCTGTCTGGACTCCAGATAAAGTGGCTGTATACATAAGGTCTGTGTCTGAATGAAACTAAATGACCATTTTACCCTTACATTTCCAAAAAAAAAAATTCACAGTATTCATCCGTTTTTAACGCTAGAGGAGTTGGAAGGGAAAAATAGTGTAAAAAACAAGCCATGTATAGTTGTGTAGATGAAGTGCTTAAGCATTAAGTAAAAATAGTGTCTGTCTGCTAAAAAGTTTTAAGTGGTCATCTCATTCTCATGTGTAGTGGATGGTGAGGCGCTGGACAAAAGACATGGGACGTGAAGAAGCTATTAAGCTTATGAAGTGGAACAACAGCAGTCCCAGTTTTAGTTTAAGGTTTTAATGCCTCTCTCTTTTTCTTTTTCTTTTTTTAATAAAAGATAAATGTTACAAATGTTATCATCATCTCCTACGAATTAATTATGGCAGGGCTAATAGAGGAAAAGGTTTTACACGATCAGATCTTGTGTCACGACTTGAAACTTTGAAGGTGCACTTCTGTCTTTCCCATTTTGTTAAAAAAAAAAATTATTTAAAAAAAAAAAAAAGTAATTCGGTACCAACTTTTGTTAAAACTTTAGGTGCCCTATGAGCTCTCTCCTCACCTGGATGATTTTGTTCGTATCACCACAGGGATGCAGGTATATCTCAATTGTTAAACACTGCACAAAAAAAATTGTGAAAGACTTGTGTGTAGAATTGAGATTAGGGCATGTTTCTATTTTTTTTCCACGTTAAGTCCTGTATGGGTAAAGTAGGTTCATGGGTAATAATGTATGTCTGGATAAAGTGATGTGTTTGTTTCTTTTCTAGACTGAATCAACACTGTCTGAACGACAGACTAAATGACCATTTTACCCTTACGTTCCAAAAACAAACTTCACAATACTATAGTCATCAATTTTAACGTGAGAGGAAAAGCATTAAGGGTTAGTGTCTGAATACATTAAGCCAGGTTTTTTGGTTTTAACCCATAAAGTCAGTTCCTCCATAGTAAAGTCGAAAAGAAACAGCCATGTACACTTGTCCAGATTAAGTGCTTAATCCATTAACTCAAAAAAAAAAAAAACCCTAGTTATCTGAATCTGGTGCATTTGATGATATTTACAGAGTGTTTTACAAGATGGACTACTAAAAGAAGGATTATGTTCTGTCCAAGATGAAAGTGCAGGTTTTTTTTTGCATTCAAGATTTCATCTAGTAACCCATTATATATATTCATGGTTAATGATGATACACTTGGGTTGAGGGGCAGGTTTGGTAATTTCCATTGTTGATCCACAACCTGGAGAGACCATAATCGACTGTTGTGCTGCTCCGGGAGGGAAAACACTCTTCATGGCTGCCCATTTAAATGGCCAAGGTACTTTTCCTTCTACAACCAAACCAATATA